ACATGTGTGTGCTTGCATGTGTGCTGAAAGATGAGGGTGGGATCTTGATGTACAACCGCATGGGGCTGGACCACCCAGGGAGGGTCACAGAGGGTTGTGGGCTGGATTTGTGGTCCATATCATCAGGGTCAGAGCTCATCATCCCTCAGGGCCACAGACCAGCAGCCAGAGGCCAAGGGAAGTGGTGACCCAGAGCCATTTGATTTTCTTGGAACTGCTTACCCTATCCTGGGGCAGAGGCCACGCTCTGTCCTTGTCTGGCCCAGGCAGAATGAGGGGCCCCATGCAGGCCACCATGGATCCTGCCCACTGTCCTCCAGCTGAGCAGGCCTGGTGTCTAGACTCTCAGACTGGGAAATCAGTCTTAGAATTCTTTCATCAATAATAACAAACACAATCAGAGAATCAACAAACATTGGGAGCTTCATGTTTCCAAGTTGGAAGGGACCTTATAAATAAATGGTCTCATCCAACACACCAGCCATTGCACAGATCCATTTCCTAGCAATGCTGCCAGGTGGCCATGCCGTCACTGGTAGACATGAGTAGGATCCACCCCTCCCTGTGCATCTGCTACATGCCAGGTGCCACGCTAGGCACTGTCCTCTCATCTCAAGCCATCCCCTGGTCACCCGAGGGTTGGAGGTAATTAGGGAAGACCTTCTACCTTGTGATAGGTTCCAGTGCTATTTCTGGGGCTGGACAGACCCAGCTTTGAATCCCACCTCCTTGATGTGTGGACCTCTCTGAGCCTCAGTTTTCTCCTCTGTAAGGTAGGGATATCAGTTGCACAACCCTATGGGCTGTTGAGAGATAAATATCTGATGTGTTGGCTGATGTGTTGGCTCTTATTAGAATAATAATTATTATCCCATTTTACAGATACAGAAAATGAGGCTCAGAGAAGGAGGAGATGGTCCTAGGCCACAACCCCAGAGATGTGCTTGCCCAGATACCCACATGCCAGGCCAACCTCGAGAGCTAGTCACATGGCTCCTCTGGAAGCCCATTTCTGCCCCCACTGGCTCCAAAACTTTGGGCCCGAATGTGTGCTTCAAGAATGCTCCCCAGGAGCTCTGAGGCTGCTGGTCAAGCACTTGAAGCTATTGGCCTGTGACTTCCTAGGCCTCTACTGCACATATTTTAGTGTACTGCCTCCCATGACAGCCGGGTCACAGGGACAGGACATTCTGTTTGTCTCAAAGCCAGAGCAGAGAGGGAGCATCTCACTGGGTGAGTGAGCTGGCATCCTTTCCCCATATTCTTAGCCCCAAAGGGCCCAGGGCTCCCCATCTTCCCCTCTACCCACTCACACCTGGCATCTGGCCCCAAAGGGGTTGCTGGTTTGGAGGCTGGGCTTGGCCAGCCCCTCATCGATACAGGTTCCAGAAGCCTGACTTCCCCTTAGCTTCCACAGCCAGGGGACTGTAAATCATTCATCCTGGACCCTCTCCCCACCCTGCCACTCTCACGCCCTGCCCTGCTCCTACTCCCAGGCTCTAGAGGTGGCACAGGTGCCCAGGGGAGGGAGTCAGAGGATACGATAGGTTAGGATAGACAGTCATGAGTTCTGGCAGGGCTGGGACTGGAGCCCTGGGCTCTTGAATATCATTAAAAATACAAGTCACATCTGCACTCAGTAAAAATTTAAACTGTCCAAGTCTCCCGCCTACCTGTGACCCTCCTCCTCCAGTTCCTTTCCCCAAAGAAGGTAGCCCCTGTTGCTGGCTTCCTGTATATCCTTTCAGAAAGAAGTAGACAAGTGCACAAAGATGTACAAGTGTGTGTGCGTGTGTGTATCTCCCCCATCTTTATACAAAACCTGTAATGACACATTTCACACCATCCTATGTCTTGCTTTTTCACATATCTTAGAAATTGCTCCATAATGTATATTCAAAGTTGTGTAATTTCCTTTTAGTGACGGCATAATGCTTCTCCACATGCAAGTTCCACATCTTGTCAACAGGTTTCCTGCTTGTACACATACAATTTTTTGTCTTGTGTGATTAGAAGTGGCATCAGCTGTTGGCCATTCACTGTGGGATCCATTCCTGGAAGTGGGATTCGTGGTCCATGGCTATGTACCTGTTAAGTGAGGCTATGTCCCACCACGTTTGGCTCCAAGGAGGATGCTCCCGTTACCGTTCACTCCCTGGACATGTGGGATTGCCTGGTGTCTAGGAATCAAACATTTCGTTCTTTGACAGAACTGTTTTCTTAGCAATGAAATTGTGTGCTTTGAGCAGCTCAATCGGATAGAAGGAGGCCAAGTGGGTTGCTGAGCCCCTATCCCCTCTTCAGAGCCAAAGAGGGATACCAAGGCCTATGGGCCGTCTCCGTTGGCAGCCTTGCTAGCCAGTGCTCTGTCACCATCTCTTCCCATGCTGCTCCTCCATTTGGGGAAGATTTGGTGTCTGAGTCTTGGGTCATACCCAGCACCAGGTGGGGCAACCTTCAGCAAGTGCCCTTTACAGGCCTTGACTCCTGACCTGTGACATGGCGTAACGCATCCCAGCTGCCTGTCAGAAAGAGCAAGGGGGCGAGCTGGGAAAGACTGCCTTAGTGACCATGGCTGTAACCACTCAGACCAAGGCCCCATGGGCAGGGACCCTCACCCCTTCCTGGGTCCGCACTCCTCTGGGGTGGCTGTGGCAGTCCTGTTTTACAGCCCCCTGCCATGCTCTGACCCCTCCTAGGGAGTATTGCCAGTGCTAGGGGGGCCAGTGGCGGGCTCAGTGGTCCCTAGATACACTGGAGGGTTCTGAGCACTCTATACCCTGAGCTACGACCTTGGGCAAGTCTGCTCACCTGGGCCTCCAGGGACTCTGACTCCACACGCTGAACTAGAGGAACTTAACAGGCCACTGCTGCGTGACCATCCTGAACCACAGTCTACTCCCAGAACCCGTCCTGGCTCTAGCCCAGTGAGCCCAACAATCTGTGGACTAAGAGCCCTGCTAGACTCTGGTGGTGGAGGCATTAGGCCGAACTGGTTTTGAGCCAACGTTGAAATTTCTAGGCCAAGGAGGGGGCTGATCTGGAGCCAAGGCCTCAGCAGCCACTCCCTTGGCCCTTTCCTGAGGCCAGGCCTGGCCAAGGGCCGAAGCTGTCCCGTGCTGTCAGCCAGGGGACTGAGGTCAGTGGCTATGGAAGCGTCTGGTGTGGTTCTGCTGCTCAGCAGAAAACCCAGGGAAAAGCAGCCCAGGAACATCTGCTGTTGCCTGTTCTCCACAGAGCCGTTTGGCTACAAGGAGCCTGGTGGCTGTCCTGCCAAGCTGTGTGGGCTTGGTGGAGGGGACAGAACAGGGTGGGGGTAGTGAGTGAGGGGTGCTGAGGGCCAGGCTGGGCCATGCCTGTGTGCAATTCGGGGAGGTAAAGGCTGGCATTGTGGGGTCACTCGGTTAGGCGAGGAGGGACCTGTGGCTGTTCTAAGATCGACCATGTCCTGGTGGACGCGTGTGCTGGCATGTGCCTCCTATTTATAGCCACGTGTTCAGCTTCTTGTAAAGGAAACTGGTACTCAGCCAGCCCCTCAGCCCCAACCAGCCCAGGCCTAGCATGACTCCTAATGTTTTCCCCAGACAGACCTCCGGCCCCAAAAGCCTGATGCTAACCCCAGACGGTCCTCAAGTCCAACTCCTGGCCCCAGGCTGAGCCCCATCAAGAAGCCAAGCCACCACCTTGTCTGCTAGGTTGGTGTAGGGCTCCCCGCTCTGTCTCTTCCTCTCCGTACTACAACCAGATGACGGTGAAAACCCACATAGGACCTCATGTCACCTCTGCTCACGCCCTGCAGGAGCTTCCATCCTCAACAGTGAGATACCCTCTGAGTGTCTCCTGCTCACCCTTTGATTACTGCGCCTCAGCCCCACCAACTCCCTCACTGTCCTATGGCAGATAGGCCCCCAGCACAGGGCCTTGGGCCTTGGTGTCCCCTGGACTGGAACCCAGTTCCTCTTTCCTCTCTTAGATCTTTGCTCAGATTCCCCTTCTCAGTAAATCCTTCATGGGCCACTCTATTTAATAAAGTTTATCATGTGGGGGAGGTTTTTGTTGTTGTTGCTTCGTTTCATTTTGAAACAGTGTTTTGCTATGTTGCTCAGGCTGGTCTTGAACTCCTGTGCTCAAGCGACCCTCCTATCTCAGCTCCTAATGTAGCTGAACTACAGCTACATCCAGTTAGCGCTACTCTACTTAAAACTACAACCCTGGGAATTTTGGAAATTCCCAGTTCTCCCTCTCTGAAATACTTTCTTGTCTTCTGAAATACTTATCCCTTAACATATGAAATATTTCCCATACTTGCAGAAGTTGAGCTCACTGCCTGCTCCAGAGTGTGGCTTACAGCAGAAGCTCAGTGAGTCTAGGGCTGTGGCCCAAGTCACTGCCCACACTGGACACAGAGTGTGGAGCACTCAGCAGGCCACCCCCAACCCCTAGTACATCCCCAGCTCGAGGTTCGGGCCGGGGCTGGGGCATCTCAAGCAGCCCCACTCCTTCCCGGGTTGACCTGGGTGGCTCAGGAGGGACCAGGATCCTCCTACACAGGACGATTCTTGGATATTTCCATTTCTCCTCCAGCACTGATGACCTTCCCTGCTCTTCTGCACCACTGAACTCCCTTAGTCTCCAACTGCCCCTGCCTGTCAGTTGCTCCCCTCATCTCTCTGGAGTTGAAACTCCTGGTTTGAGGACCTCTGGATCAGAACCACCTGGGGGCTTTATTAAATTATGCATATTCCACCTCAAACATCTGATCAAACTGTCAGGGTATCCCCAAGCTGTTCTTCACCAGCTCCCTGGGAGTGTGCTGTGTAGCCCCAGCTGGCAGCTGCTGGTTTCAAGCTGGTGCAGCTGGCCATCAGAGGAGGGCTCAGGGTCAGAGAACTGGGTCAAGGCCAGGTCCTTCAGCAGCATCCTCTCAGGGACCTCTCCTGGCCATTTTGTGGACACTGCCCCCCCACTTCACCTTCCCTCCTGGCCCCTCTGCTTCTCAGGTAAGACTCGAACCAAGGACAAGTACCGTGTGGTCTACACAGACCACCAGCGCCTGGAGCTGGAGAAGGAGTTCCATTATAGCCGGTACATCACCATCCGGAGGAAATCAGAGCTGGCTGCCAACCTGGGGCTTACTGAACGACAGGTGTGTGGGCCTCCACCTCAGCCCTGGAAGCAGAGCTGGGAGCCTGGCTTCCAGGCTGCCAAGCAGATTACAGACCTCAGTAGAGGGAGAACAGAGAGGCCATAGCACAGCAGACACTGAGCTGCTGCCAGCCCCCTCAGTGAACTCTAACATTCCTGCATCCCACTAGCCATAGGATACAGCAGGCTATGGTCAGTGCTGCTTAGACCCAGAGGAGGGAGGGGCACAGAGGCGAGGAGGAAAAGGGAGGGTTACTAGAAGGGAGCTAGGGTGGGGGAGCAGGTTCTAGAGGGGGAAGATGTGTTCAAGGGCCATGAGGTCTGGGTAGCTGCCAATGCCACCTGGAGAAAGATGAGCAGAGGTCCCCCTCCCCCGGCTCTGTCACACCCCTCCACATCTCTGCTTGGTGACCTCGCAGGTAAAGATCTGGTTCCAAAACCGTCGAGCGAAGGAGCGCAAAGTGAACAAGAAGAAGCAACAGCAGCCGCTGCCACCCCCACAGCTACCACAGGCCCTGGACACCCTGGAAGGCACCCCCACCTCAGTGGGGCCACCCCTGGGGGGCCTGGGCCCCAGCAACACTGGCCTCCTGGGTGCTTCCTCCCCAATGCCTGTCAAGGAGGAGTTTCTGCCCTAGTCCTTCCCAGTCCTGTGGCTGTAGGACCTGGGGAGTCAGGTGGTGGGGACAGAGCTCTGATGGGGTTCATGACATAAGGCCTGGTCTTAGCCCCAGCCCTGCCTCTGTCACCATGGACAAGTCACCCACGCACTCCCTGCATCCCCTGGCTCGTCTGTGTGGAGAGCCTATTGGCTAAGGACCTCTTCAGGAGCCTATGTTCTGGGCCCCAGGAGGATAAGGGAGCCTAGGTGGGCACTCTCAACCTCTGGGGAAATCTCAAGCTTCAGAAGGCTGAGTGGAGGGCCAGGACAGGGGGCCAGGCTCCATAGGTTCAGTGGGTGAGGTGGGAGGCTGCTGTAGGGAGCAGCTAGACCCTGGAGAGAGGGGGTACTGCCCAGAGAAGATGGGATGCTTGCAGGCTGTGACCACTCCCCCCTGCCTCTTCCTGCACCCCCACCTTCACCTGCCCTTCCCCGGCCTGGGTCTGAGGTGAGGCTCTGATGAGTGTTCTCTGACTGGCAGAGCCCTGTCCACTGGCTGGCGCTGGCAGGGAGGCCTTCAATGAGGGGGTGGGTGACCAGGAAAAGGGCAGAGTGCACCCTGTGGGTCTCACCACCCATCATCAGGCTGTCATCAGGGCCTAGGCCCCAGGGAGCCCCAGAGACTGTCTCTGCGCCAAGCAGCGCTCACAGCTGGACAGGTGTTTATTACAGACGGTGACTCTCGTGGATGCAGCTTCAAGAATAAATTTTTTCCTCTTTTTAAAGATGTATAAAAATCATTATACATAGCATTAAAGAAAAATGTTTAAGAAGTGTACACCATCCTCTCCCTTCCCTAACAATTATGTATTCCCTTCCTGTTTTGCAGGCCTACAACAAGGTCACCTTTAAAATACATTTAAAAGATCAAAACAAGACATTATTAGAGTAAGTCTATGAGGCTATATAAAAACCTGAGTCCATTTGTAAGCAGAATCATCAGACAGTTCATCAGCCTATTGAAATTTTCAGATTCTTTCAGCACAGGTTTTTCCTTCAAATGATGATATTCATTGGGCACCCCACGTGTGAAGCACACAGGCCTTGCTGCTTGGAAGTTTCCAGTCAGTGAAGACTGTCATGTGCACAGATGGTACTAATATACAAGGCTAGGGGCCAATCAGAGCTGTACTCTGGACACCATGGGAACCAGAGAATCCAGTGAGCACAGAGGAGGCACCTAGCTTATCCTATAAGGCTCAGAAAGCCTTCTGGAGGAGGTGGTGTCTGATCTGAGACCTCAAGGACCAGTAGGTGCTGATCAAGCCAAGAAAGAAAGAACGGTAGAAAGGAATATGAGCAATGTGAACTTGGGGTATGATCTTTTCTCGCACCCAGGAGAAGCCACTGTTCTTACCTCCCTTCCAGAGTGGATAGGAATCTGCTACCTGGGGCTTTTTCTCCCCAGAGGGCTCCAGTGCCAGCTGCCTGTCCCTCTGTTTACTGTTCTGGGAGGAGGCCCAGCCGTAAAAAGTGTGCTCAGCCTGTCTGCTGTCGCCCTTTGCTCCTGGGGCCCATGATAAAAATGCACAAAGTGGACGTAGTCCTGGCGCAGCTCTCATAGACCAGCAGGCTCCTCTCTCCTCCCAGTGGCCTGGGGGCCCCTGGCCTCACCAGGAACCAGAGACATGTAGGGTATGGGAGCCAGGTGGTACCAGAGGAAAGGACCAGGGTTCCAAGAGCAGAGAGAAAAGGGCTGGTAGGAAGGAAAGCAGCCGTCTTCTACCCTTTATAAAGATTTGCTGGGCTGGGGATTTAGCTCAGTGGTTCCGGTGCCTGCCTCAAAAGTGCAAGGTCCCGAGTTCGATCTCAGGTACCAAAAAAAAAAAAAAAAAAAGATTTGTTGTGTGACCCTGGGGTAACTGTTGCCCCTCTCAGGGCTTCCATTTCCCCCTTTGTAAAAGTGGAGAGCTTGTCTTCCAAGAAGAAACATCTCTGGCAAAGTAAGTCTGAGAAATCCTGCAGATTTCACTCCCTGGGAAAGTGCCAGTGGCTCAGTAGCAATCAGAGGCTCTGACAAGCCCTACTTTGAAGGAGCCACTTGAGTTTTCTTTAATTCAGTGCTCCCTGTCCAGCCATTCTCCCTGCCCAGGAGCCCCCTCCAGGCCCATCTGTATCCTACTGAGCTCCGAACACCTTAGGGCTGCAGGGCCACACCTTCTCTGTGACTTAAATGGAACATCAGGGTGGTGGCCTCGGCTCCAGTGTGGCCGCTTCCAAGTTGGGAGACTTCAGGCCAAGTTTCTTACCTTCTCTGAGCCCCAGCCTCCCCCTTTGTCAAGTGGAAATAAAATAACTGATCTTAGGATTGGGTGTGGTACAGGGCCAAGCTCAGAGGTAAGTGCTCCTGTTTTAGCCACCTGCTGCATCCCAATGTGAGATGCTGGTGGGTCTGATTGATGTTCTTACCACCCTACCCCCAGTGCTCAGGACAGATGGTGGCTGTGAAGATCAGTGGGACAAGCCTGTCCCTGGCCTCGGGAATACTGCTGCCTAGCAGGAAGCCAGTAGCCAAGACTTGCAGCCTGTGTGAGCTGTAGCAGTTGCCCACATGGGACATCAGGAGCTTGGATGGGCCCATGGCTGAGCTGGTGGGCACTTGTCAGTTGGTGTTTGAGCTCCATGAAAAAGGAAACAAGGAAACTTCCAAGTAGCGCCATGGGCTGCCTGGTACCGTTTGTTTCTTGTCACCTAACGAAGTTGGCTATTGTAAGGGCTTGGGAAAGAGATGTCCTCAGGTCTCATCAGATCCTGTAGCCACCCAGAAATAAGGAAAATCCCAGCTCTCCTGTAAGGAATAGCTGGTGCTGCTTTGCACACAGTCATTTTAGGCTCCCCTCTGCCGGAAGCAGGCCCTGCTGGTGCTGAATCTGCCTGACCTGGCCCTCTGTGGCCCACAGCCTGGTCATGGCCTCTAGCAAATCAGAATCATGCATATCAGCACTAGGTTTTTTATACAACTTTGGGGACCCATATAGACCCCTTAGTGCTACATTGAGAACCTTTGTCCTTTGGAGGAGCTAGAGTCATCACTGAGTGACAAGAGATTGATGTAAGCTGCTCAGAACAGGCCACTGCTCAACTCTGGGGAGGGATTCAGGGTTGAGAGTGGAGTGTTCTGGGAGAAGAGGTCTCCAGCAGCAGCGTGGAAGGTGTGTGTGTACGTGTGTGTGTGTGCGCACGCACAAGCGCATGCACATGCTATGAGCTATGACGCCAAGAGGGGACAGGAAGACTATGGACTTCTGAGGAAACCAGCTGCCTCTGGGTGGCTGAGATGCAGGACAGGGGAGCCTGGCAGGGCTGGCCCAGGGCAGCTCTGGGGGGCAATGCTGGCCCAGTGGGGCTGGTCCGGAACTGCATTCTCCACCACACCAGATGGGAAGCAGTCTGCAACCTCATTCTTCAGTCACCACTCCCCAGTGTAGCACAACACATGCTTCACAGTGATAAAATCTGAATGTTTAGGCAAATTAAAAATGTTTATTTATATGCATTTTAAAAATACCTCCCTATGTAATAAAAGGAAGTACATTTTCATCTAACGCTTTCCTTAAATCAGCACACAGCTCCATTTCACTTCTAGTTTGACATGAGATCAGGAGAAATACTGAGAGAAAGGAAGAGAGAGAGAGAGCACGAGTGGGAGGGAGAGAGAGGAGACTGAATGGCAGTGGCAGTGGTAGTCAAATGTGTTTGGTTGCAAAACTCATGGCCACTTGAATGATCAAAAAATTGGGGCTCAATGTCTGGATGATTGATGTGGGAAACACCTAGAAAATCTTGGGCTTTATTTCATTTTATTATTTTATTTTCTAAGCTAAGGCTCAGTGTTGGGAAGAGGGCAGCAGAGCAGTGTAGTCTGGGGGCAGAGCTGGGGTGGAGTCACACTCCTAGGCTCTGTGTGACCCTGCCTCTTTGTCACTGAGGAGGTGTACAAGTCCTTCCCTCTCTGGGTTTCAGTTTCCCCATCTGAAATGTGTGAACCTAGACCATCTGCACATCGCAACCCGGTGACTATCACCAAAACTCAGCGGTGACCCCAGGAAGCATTTGCTCAGGGAAAGCTGACATCATAGCCCCATTCCCTCTCCTCCCCCAGGAGCAGCCAGGAAATGGGCAGAAAGAGGCCAGGCTTCACCCTCCCGTGCCGAGGTCATCAGGACCTTCAGGGGTGAGATGGAACCCCAGTGCCAACAAGAGGGAGGAGCTGCTTCAGTGAGGCTTTGGCCTCTCCTGTGAGAGGGTAGGCAGCCCTGAGGAGGGGCATCCCATGCTGCCCATTCCCAGGCACAGCTGTGGCCTGTCTAGCTTTATCTTCAAGACCCAGAGTTTCATTGCTCTGTGTGGCTTGACACATGACTTCACTCTCCTGAGACAGTTTCCTCAGGCATAAATCTGTCTTCTCAGGCTGTTGGAAAGAGCTAAAAATTGGATATTGGATTTAAAATTTTTATCTTAGAGTGCACAGTGGGGCTCAATAAATGCACCTCTTCTTCACATTCATGGCCACCGGAGGCCCCATATGGGTAGGAGGCAGCAGGTAGAAGAGCCTCCCTCCTCCTGGGCTAGGAAGCCCAGGCCTGCATCCGCGGACAGGCTTACAGGGAGGGGCAGCAGGTCAAGCTCTTCACCAGACCCCCGCTGGGGCCCAAGCCCTGCCCACCTCTTTTCATGCCCCAGGGGTAAGAGCACAGACTCTTAGCCTTGCCTCTCCTCAGAGGCCTCCGCTGGGGCAACAGTATATATGACTAATGTCTGAATGGTGTCACTGTGATAGTGAGCAAAGCATATGCCAGTCTACTAGCATGCACACATCATCCTAGCAAACTGATGTATACGATTGCTGGAGCTAAAAATTTCCTGTTCCAGCCACAGGCTGGCTGGATCATCAGAACAGTGAGAGGTCAGCCATGAACAGACTGGCTGGTGGCCCATTTCACAGATGCAAAATCATGACTTTCCTGAGGTCACACTGCCCATGGATAGAACCTGGTGCTTACAATCTAAGCCACAGACCATCATAAGAACTCAATGGCACTTGCTTGTCCCTTCCCCTTGTCCAAAACTCCCCATGGCATTTTCATCCCAAGGAGTGTTGAGGACTACTATTAGCTTGGAAGGTCCCTGAAGCATGCTTCTATCCCTGGTATCATGTGCTAGCTCTGTGACCTTGAATAAGTTGAGCTACCTCTCTGTGCTTCAGTTTCTTCATCTATAAAATGGGAATGCTAACCTCACACAGAACCTGGCACATTTCAGGTGCTCAGTTAACACAGGCTAGACAATTGGATGAATAACTTATTATCAGTGGTATCGTGGGCAGCCCACAGTAGGTCAATAAATGTTAACTGAGGACCTATTGTATGCCAGGCCCCATGCTAGCTATTTTCTATGGTCCATCTCCCTGAATTCTTCATACCTCATAAAGGATTCTTACCCCCATTTTCCAGATGAAGAAGTGGCCTCACAGCGAACCTAAGTAAGGTCACAAGGCAAAGAAGTCACAAGACGCAATTGGATGCCGGAGCCCAAAAACAGTCTGTCAGTGTTGGTACCGGCGGCCTGCCTCCTTCCTAGCCCTGCTAAGGACGAGACCAGAGAGGTCAGGTCACCTGCCCAAGGTCACGCAGGAGACGCTAGCTGAGGCCGAGAGTTTCTGTCGGGAGTCCCCTTTCCCACTCGGGCCCCTCCAATCCTGAGCTCTGCGTGCGGGGGCGCGCATCCCCCAGGCGCCGTTGGTCCATCAGCCGTCTGTCTGGGTGTCTCCCCATCCTCTGGCGCCCAGCAGCGAGAGGCAGGGCGTTCTCAGTCCCCGGCCCGCGCCCCACACCCGCAGCCGCCAGACGGCAGCGCCTGCGCCCGCAGCCCCAGCCGGTGTGCGGGAGCCGGGGCCAGGGCTCAGCGGCAGGCGGGCGGGCGGGCGGTCGCACGGTCCCTCGCCACCGAGCTCCCAACCTGCGCTGCGGAGAAGCCCAGCCGTCAGTGCCGGCACCAGCCCTCGAGATGAAGAAGCTCCAAGGAGCTCACCTCCGCAAGGTAGTGCACGACCAGGCGTACCTGAAGGAGAGTGGGAGGGGCCCGGGAGGAGGTGGCGCAGGGCGCCCGGTCGCCCAGGCCCTGGAGGCCGGCAGAGCTGGATTAGGGGAGGGGCGGGGTCATGGTCTCCCCGCACCCTCTCGGGGTTAGGCTGTGGGGGCTGGGGGCTGGGGTCACCGGGCCTGGCCCTGAGCGAACAGGTGTCTGCAGCCCTAGGAGGCTCCACGTAGGGGTGGCTGGAGCCAGACACTCACCTTTCCCGGTTCCTCCTTGCTCCCCAGGGTCTGATTAAGGACTGAGGGGTGTTAGAAGCTGAGGGCCAGCCTTGGGCTGGACTAATTTCAGGGTGGGTTATCGTCCTAGCGCCCCTCTGGCCACTCTGTCCCAAAGCAGCCTTTGCCAGCTTCCAAAGACCAGCTTTGTTTCTGCCCACTCTGGCCCTGCAAGCCCATCACCTGCTTCCTCCCCTTCTCTGGCAGCTCTGCCATCCCTGCTGAGACCCCAGGAAGTCCCTTTCTCTGCAAGGAGGAAGGGAAGCAAAGGCAGGCAGAGTGGGGGGAGCAGGGAGACTCAAGCGAGGGGTGGGGGGGAGCTGGGGCTGGGATGAGAGCAGTGACCCCAGACCTTATGGGTGGGTAGGGGGAGCACTGGGGTAAGTTTCCTGGCTTTTGACTTGATAGTCCCAGCCCTAGCCAAGGAGTCAGAACCCCCTATACTGTTTCTGCAGCTGCCACTTCTCATTCTCTGACCAACCCGTTTGGGACACGCTCACTGGGTGAATGGAGTGCTGGAAGCTGTGACCCGGTAGGGGCACGTGGGCTGCTGTCATCAATCCCACACACAAGCAGGCACTCATTCAAGCTCTCTGTGCTGGGACAGCCAGGCATGGCATCACTGCGGGAAGTGGGTCTCTTCTATTGACTGACTCGACTTTGTGGGGCCGTTTGTGGGTCTCTTGGGTCCTCTTGGTCCTGTTCCTATTTTTCTACTCTTCATTCTCCTCTCTGCTCTCCCCACTTCACAAAAACCCCTGCCCATCTTTGCCGTAGGGCTGCAAATTACACAAATGGCCACAATGTTGTGAGTAGCTGGGAGCTTAGGCAGTCTTATTTCATCCAGTCCTCCAAGAATTCTGTAGACTGATTCTCATCATCCCCATTTCATCAACAGAGCAACTGAGGCACAGAGGAAGGAGACTCACTGCTTACCTGAAGTTGGGATGAGCAGCCTAGAACTGACAGGGCAGTGCGGGGTGGGCAGGAGGGAGGGGACTTCCTCTTTGGTCTGGAAGAGAAGGGGGCAGGGAGGGAGAAAATGCCAAGGATCAGCAAGGAGGCAGCATGGTCAGAGATAAGCACCAGACTGGGAGTCAAGGATCTCAGTCCTAGTTTTACTCTGCCCTCAACTTATTAGTTGACCTTGGGCTCATCCCCTCCACTCCCTGAAACTCGGTTTCCTCATCTACACAATAATGAAGATGGAACGCAGATTCTATTGTCTCTCTCTTTCCTGAAGAAGATACTGAGAGCAAGGCTGGGGCAGTCCTGACGCTGTAGACCCCAGGCTGGGGACCTGCATGTGCTGATTCCTAAAAAGAGAGGGTGCAGGTCTTGCAAACTTGGGTACATGCTCCCAGAGTGGGGAATGGGGTGCTCAGGGGCCAGAGTTTCCACCCAGGTGGAAGCTTGAAGTGGCTGTGTAGCTTCCAAGCCTGGCTTGTTTTCTTGGTTGCTGTCTTCTGTCTCCTGACCAATCCCATCCTTGCTGTGCCAACCTCCTGGGATTCACCCCATGGTGGTATTAGGGGCTCCAGGTGGGCTCTTGATTGGCTCAGTTTTGGAGGACCCCATCCCTAGCCCTGGAACAGGAGCAAGCTTCCCTCTGATTGGGGAAGGAGGAGGAGGAGCTGGCAACATCCTGCTCTTAGAACTCTTGTCACCATGGAAACAGAGCCAGGACCGCTCTGTGAGCGTGGAAAGGGCAGCTTCTCTGGAGAGATCAGAGGAGCCTCATTACCAGGACCTCCTGCCAGATGGCCTGAATAGGGCAGGATAGTCCCAGGTGACAGGCATGCCTTACTACCCAATGCCAAGGGCCAGTGTCAACTGGCTGCTGCTGCATCCTTCCTGGAGCTCACCTGGGAGGAGAAGTGCCAGAAGACAGGTGTTCACTCAGTGGTAGAGGCATCCTTAAGGGAAGGGGTGGGGGGTTCAGGTAAACCTGGGAGTGGCTGCCACCCTCTCCTCAGCAAATCCAAAAGCATTGCTGTCTGGGCAGCACTTATGTGTTTCAACCCTTGGAGTCTAGTGACTTTAACAGCAGTATTTTCGTTCTCTGTCATTGTTACCATCATCCATCATAATCTTTTTTTAAAATTATTTTTATTGGTACATTTAAGGTATACAATATAATGACATTCATCATTGGAAATCTGTACCTTTACATAATCCATCTTGGTTCTTATTTTTTCCCCATTCCCCTGCCCTCCCTTCAACCCCTCTACCCCTCCCATCCATCATAATCTTAACAAGCTTTTCTTGTCTCCGTTGCCCAGCCCCAGGCAAGATCACCACGGTGGTCCCCACTATCAGTGAAAACCAACCCACGCTGTTATCTCAATGCTGTCATCTGAGCCGTGGTTCACCCAGTCTCCGAAGCCAGACACTTCCAGTCCTGTGACACTCATATTAGCCCTACCCTGCTGTCATTTTTTCTCCTCAGTACTGGGTATGGAACCCATAGCTTTGCACATGCTAGGCAGGCATTCATAACTGAGCTACACCCTAGTCCTCCCTTAACCATTTTGATCCCAGCAGTGCTTATATAGCCAATAACCACTAAAACCTCTTCTATCACTACCTGACTTATTTGAACAGTGTTATGGGAAGAAAGTCATTTGCCAGTAGGTAGGACTGAGTTCCCAGGTGAGGCTCTGATCTGACCCTCAGACATTGAAACTGTCCCCAGCAAAGGTGGTGCTGAACTTGCCTCGTGGACCATCAGAGCTAGAAGGCTCACTGAGAGTGCCAAGACCTTCATCTTCCCAAGTACAGTACAGCCCAGCATGCTGACTCCTTGAGATCCTCTTTTTTTTTTTTTTTTTTTTGATACCGGGTATCGAACTCAGGTCTTGCGCCTGCACAGCAGGCCATGAAACCACTGAGCTAAATCCCCGGCCCCTGAGATCCTCTTCTTAGGTAGATTTGGGAATCCTGCACTCTAGTCTCTATTTGGAGTCATGAGTATTGATGCATCAAAGGATTTCACAAGTCCTGTAGTGAGGAAACATTTTATTTTGTGTTAACACAGCTTTTCTCAAACATCTTTGACTAAAGAACCTCTTTATTCCATGTAATACCTATGAACACATGATATATCTCAAGAAATGCTGATCCACCCAGTCTCCTTTTTTCCAGATAGGGAAACTGAGGATACGAAGACTTATAAAGTCATGCCATGCATTAGCATAGACCTTGTGCTAGAATTGTAGCCTCCTGGCCCCCGTTCCATTCTACTGCTGTCACAGGTTTCCTATAATCATTTCTCAACAGGAAGTGGGGGGTCCTTTCTCTTCTCTGAAGACCCTGAATAGTTATTTACTAATCAGCTTTCTTTGTATTTCCATTTTTCTCTGCCTTAGGGTGTGAATTCCAGAACAAACAGCCAAGATGTTGGCTTCCCAGGTCACTTTTGCTGGGAGATGCTCTGAATTTCAGACAGTCATCCTGGTTCCTTCCGGATTCCTTCCAGGCACTAGCCCTAGGCAATTGTGATCAGGCCACCTTGTATTTTCTGGGCCAGGATCCCAAGTGGTTAGAGTAGGGCCTCCTTCTCCCAACCCCAGCCAGAAGAAGGAATGCCCAATGGACCTCTCTGCCCACTTTGAAACATGGAAGGATATGTTAGGGACTGCTGGCCTCCGTTCTCCTCTGTACTTATCTCTGCCAGTGACAGCAAGTGTCTTAGTTATTTTTCTTTCATTGCTGAGACAAAATATCCAACACCAAAAGTTAAAGGGAAAGGGTTTATTTAGCTCACAGTTTGTAGAGGTTTCAGTCTATAATCAGCTGGCTCCAAGGCAGAGTGGCAAGTGGCAGAAGGGAGGAGAAAGAGTTCATGGAGCCCAAACCATAGCAAAAGCAACAAGGGATTTTAACAGTCTTTCCTTCCCTTTTATCTTATCCAGGCTATGGGGATTAAAGCGGTACCAAACCAATCAGTGGACTAATTTGGTAATCACCCACCCTTAATCCCAGCATCAAACACTCTAGATTCAGCCACCTCTGAAAAAGCCCTATGATCACATGAGCCTTTGGGGGAACATTTAGACAGGAACCATAACAGCAAATTCTAACTTTCTGACACAGATTGGGGCTTAAGAGCTTGTGCATGTTTATGAGCCAAAATCCACAGTCTTCAGTAGGTTCCTTAAGCCCCAGAGCATAATTCTAATTCCTCCCTCAGGGAGCCCATGTTCTACCAAATTGTTCACTTCCTATGCTAAGGGTTCCTGGCTTCTTCCCTCATCCCCTTGCAACTGCTTTTCCTAAACACCCTCCCCTCTGGCCATATGCCCTTTGGCCATGCTTCACACTATCTCTGTTTCTTTCTTAAAATCAGAATGGAAATGAAACTCATCCTGCATGGTGGGTGAAGACATGGCCGTTAGTATCAGGAAAGTCTGTGCTGACCATCCCTTGGTCTGGCCTCTGCTAGCCACTCTGAGATCAGGTAGCTTTCTCAGTGCCTGAGCTACCTGCTCATGCCTAAGGATCTCCCACACATGACCATATGAAGCCAGATGACAGTGCTTGATTATCCAAACCAAGAGAATGTCTTTCCATTCAGCTCTGGCCAGTTCTGCATTCTTGCCTTGGCGAGGTCACAGTTCCAGTCTGACCTCACCTTTCTTCCTCCTCACTTTGGTCTCTCTTCCTGACAGCCCGTCACCCCAGACCTACTGATGACCCCCAGTGACCAGGGAGATGTGGACCTGGACATGGACTTTGCTGCAGACCGGGGCAACTGGACCGGCAAGCTGGACTTCCTGCTGTCCTGCATTGGCTACTGTGTGGGCCTGGGGAACGTCTGGCGTTTCCCCTATCGAGCCTACACCAATGGAGGAGGTACTGGCCTGAATCCCGTGGAAGGGTGTCTGGGGTGATGAGCCAAAGCTCTGGGGTGATTGAGCTTTTCTGCCACCTCAGCCACTGTCTCCTATGTGACCTTGGGCTGATAGAAGGGAGTTTACTCTGCTTTGCTCCTTTTTGTTAGTCAGGTCCCTCCTCCTTCCTTCTCTTCCCCAGGATGGATACTGACATGCTTTTCTCTCTGGGGCCCACACTCCCTGGGCCCCATGCTTTGTGATAAGGGGTTTTAGCTGTCTATCGGGAATCGGTGTGCTTTTAATATTCTCTCCACTGCCTCCCCCTCCTCTAGAGCCTGGCTCCATCAGTCATTTCCTCTCTCTCTTCCCCTCCCCCCATACTGGGGATCGAACTTGGGTCCTTGCACTTGCAAGGCAGGCAGCGGAACCACTGAGCTAAATCCCCAGCCCAGTCATTTCCTCTCTTTAATCTTCAATATTTCCTCCTCTCCTGGTTTCTTCTTTGTGCAAACACAAAATTTCTTCTATCTTACAAAGAAAAAATTCCCTTTTGTCCCTGCTTCTCTGTCACATTACTCTTCTGAATTTCATCACCACTAGCTAAAGTTGTGCACTCACTACCTGCCAGGCCCTGGGCTTGGTGCCCATTTCCTTTAACCCCAACAACCCTCCTGGGTGAGCACCATGGAAATGATGAGGCAGGAGGGACTTATAGTGGCCCAGCTGCTTGGGCAAGGTCACATACACCCCCCCCACCCCCCCCATCCCGCCATGGTCCCAACATTCCCACCCAGAATCAGGCACCATGGCAGATTCCTGTAATCCCAACTACTAAAGAGCCTGAGGCAGGAGGATTGCAAGTTTGAGGCCAGCCTGGGCAAGTTAGTGATACCCTGTGTTAAAACAAAAGTAAATGGGCAGTAAATGGGATGTAACTCAGTGGCACTCGCCTGCCTGGCAAGTGCTAGGTCCTGAGTTCAATCCCTGGTGCCAGGAAAAAAAAAAAAAAGTAAAGGGCTGAGAAGGTAGCTCAGTGGGAGAGTTCTTGCCCAGCTTGTGTGAGATCACAAAAATATCCAACTAGGACAGTCTTCTCCAGACCCAAGGTGCTCTTGCCAGGACTCCATCTCCAGCTGTCTCCACCAGACTTGTTAAAGGAGTGTGTAAGGAGAGAGAAATTAAAATAAAGCAGATGAAACAAAGCAAAGATGCATTCATATGACCAGGAATGTGGGACTGGAGCCAGTCATCGAGATTCCAAGGATGCATGATGTCCGAAGTGGTCTTGCTACTCCCCCTCTCACTGCTTCCCTGCTCTGCTTTGTCTGCTGACCTCGTTATTTCCTGAGACAGGTTCTGTTCCTCCCTGCAGTTGGGGGCAGGAGAGGTGACCACAGACACCTCTGGAATGGTGCAGGTCCTCAGTAAGTTTAGCAGAGCTTTCCATCTGAATGAGTCTGTACAGAATTGCAGGAAGGTTTCTGAATGGCCTGGCTTGGGATATGCACCCACAGAGGGGCCAAAGGGAGGGTAGGAGGTGGCCGGTGTGACTGCAGCCCTTTCAGGCCCGTATGGTGGTGGATGGCTCTCTGAAGGAGGCGGGTACCAGCCAATATAGAAGAAAGGGGGAAGGGATGTTGGGCCCAGGAAACTACAGGTGGCAGCCTTGAGTATCTGAGGCAGCATGGCCAAGAGAGGAGACCAGATTGGAGCCAGGATCTGAAAGACATCAACTCCTGTCCTGAGCAGTTTGCTCTTGCTTTAATAAGGAATTCCCTCATTGGGTTGTTCATTCATTCCTTCCTTTATTCACTCACTCACTCAGCAGACAGTTTTCCAGTGCATGCTCTGGGCCAGCCCTGTTCTGGGAATGGGGCTACAGAGGTGACTAAATCCCTGCTGGCCTCCTTGGCCCTCAGTGGCCTAGTGAAAAAGAGAAGAGAGCCCCACAGGTTCATGGTCCCAGCAACATCTGGGGTGGAGCCGGGCTCTGAGGGAGCTGACCCTCTGAGCCCCTCCCAGCCTGCCTTGTCCCTCGCAGGCGCCTTCCTCGTGCCCTACTTCCTCATGCTGGCCATCTGCGGCATCCCCCTCTTCTTCCTTGAGCTCTCCTTGGGCCAGTTCTCCAGCCTGGGACCCCTGGCTGTCTGGAAAATCAGCCCCCTCTTCAAAGGTGAGACCTCAGTGGTCCCTGGGCTGGGCCAGGTCTGAGGGAGGCGGGGTGGTCCCCATCCCCTGGCAACTCCAGGCAGAGTGGGAAGTGAAGCCAGGTGTGATGGCTTCCAGAGGCTGCTCAGCTGCGCCACAGAGGGCTTGGCAGCCGCCCAGCAGAGCCTCTCCCCACCATAGGTGCCGGTGCAGCCATGCTGCTCATCGTAGGCCTGGTGGCCATCTACTACAACATGATCATCGCCTATGTCCTCTTCTACCTCTTCGCCTCCCTCACCAGCACCCTGCCCTGGGAGCACTGTGGCAACTGGTGGAACACGGAGCGCTGCCTCGAGCACAGAGGCACCAAGGACAGCAATGGCGCACTGCCCCTCAACCTCTCCAGCACCGTGAGCCCCAGCGAGGAGTACTGGAGGTCAGGTGCCTGCGCCACTGAGGCTGGGCGAGAGGGTGTGCCTCCAAAGCAGTGTGCGGGGTAGCGTTAGGTGACTCCTCACTGGATCAGCTCCGTGACAATTTATTTAGGTTCTGTTGCTTTCTCTTTAGAATGTGGACAATAGTAGTAGCTATTTCAGAAGGTGGTTGTAAAGAGTAAAGGAAAGAATGCATAGAAAATCACACAGCCCAGTCTGAGGGTAGTAAGCCATCTGTAAATGCTAGCTGATAACCATAACGTGAGATGATGATAACAGTGGCAGTAGCATTGTGGGGTTTCAGTTTCCTCCTCTGTAACAGTAGGGATGATGATAGTGCCTACTTCATGGGATGTTATCCACCCTGTCATTTGCTTATTCATTCTTTTAATAAATATTTATGAGAACCTATCAAAAGTAAATATGCAGCATAGGGACAGGGCCATACATAGTAAGGACCATCTCAGATTAATATAGTAGGAGAAATGAGACTAATGGAGTATCATTGTTGTGAGACTTAAATAAAGGAATTCAAGTAAAACTGTTACCACAGTGCCAGGCATGGTAGCTGTGGGGAGGGTATCACTGCTCACTGGCCTGTCCCAGTGCCCCATTCCACAGCTGGGAAAACCAGACCCAAGGCTTGCTCAGCCATTAATAGTAGAGGCAGTATGGCCGTGTAGGACCCCTGGCTCCTGTTCTGTGCTGGGACATTCTAGAGAAGCCTGATCCCTGTATGAGGACCATTGTGTGGCCAGAGAACAGTCTAAATCCCTCACCCTTTCCCCCCAAAAAAGCTGCTCTTAGGAATTTCCTCAGAGAAGCCCCAGGTCTGGAACTGCATGGACCACATAGTTCATTCATCTGTTCCTTTCAGGGCCACCCACAGTGTCTGTGCCTGCTAAAGAGTAGGTCTGACTGAGGGACAGGATGGGCCTGGGTCTGCATCTCAAGGCCAAAACCTGACATGGTCACTGACAGCTGCCAGGGGTCTCCATGGCAATGCCATGGCCACTGCATCAGTTGGGATGCAGGCAGGAGGCAGGGACGCTGTCAACAGGGTCTAACTGAAGGAAGTGGGGTGAAGGGGCTTTCTGGAGGTCAGGAGAGCCACAAGGAAAGGTCTGGCACTGGGGACTAGCAATAGGGAGTGCTGTTACCAGCCCTGAGCTGCAGAGGCAAGAGAGGCCCCAGGAGACTGGACCTCAGAAGAGGGTCTGCCCACCTGGAGCTGAGCTCAGGGGGACATCCCCAGCCAGACTCCCAGGCTGGGAGGAGTGCACCTGTGTGTATACACCTGAGCCCAGACCCTCATCCCTGTCCTCCTCCAGTGTCCTGCTGCTGCCTCCCCTCAGGTAGTGGAGGCAGAAGAGGTAGGGAGCCAAGGTGTGAATCAGTTGAGTGTCCTGGGAGCACAGCTGGTAAGAGAAGGATGAAGAGGGACAGGGAAGCTGTCACGTGGAGAAGAGCCGTAGGGCCTCGCTGCTGGACATAGCCATACTCCATGCCTGCAGAGCATGAATGCTGACCACAGGACCTTTGTCTCTCACAGCCGCTATGTCCTCCACACTCAAGGCAGCCAGGGCATTGGCAGCCCTGGGGAAATCCGCTGGAACCTCTGCCTCTGTCTGCTGCTGGCCTGGGTCATCGTGTTCCTCTGTATCCTCAAGGGGGTCAAGTCCTCGGGCAAGGTGAACCTGGAGGCCCCAAGGCTGGAGAGGCTGGGGAGGGCTTCCTGGAGGAGGTAGACAAGACCTGGGGCTGAAAGATGCTCAGATTTCACCCAGAAGAGGGAAGAATAGGGCACTGGGGGGGGGTACACTGCCAAAGAAAGAGAAGGAGGTGGTGGGGACAGTGGGTTGGGATCCCTGGACCGGAACTCTCCACTGGCAGCAGCCATAGGTTATTCAAGTTGGCTTCCTGCTTCAGAAGGCCGCCCCGGCAGCTCTAGACTTAGACGTTACCTGATTGGTGAAGGTTTCTCACTTCTGTGTGTGCAGTCGCAGAACTCAGTCTCACTGGGTAAGCAGAGTAGTGCACCCACTTCTGCACGAATCTCTGTGGCCAGGAGGGTGGAGGACACTGCTGGGCTGGGCTGGATGTGGAGGCTGCCCCTTCCAGGGAAAGATTGGGTGCTGTATCTGAAGAAGGCAGACTAGATGCTGGAAAGACAACACCACTGATGTCCACTGTGGGCAATGAAGGTGCAGGAAAGACAGTAAAGTGGTTACAGACAAATTTGGAAACTTGAATGGTTCACTCAGTTATTATAAATTAGAACTTGTCCCTCGGCTAAGTGCTGAGAAGTGCTACCCATGAGGAACAGGGTTCTTATAAGAAGCCTGAAACAGACAGGGTAGAAAGCTTTTAGGAAGAGAGGAGGGGCAGTCATGGTCACAGCTGAGGCACCCAGGATGTTGACTGAAGAAGTGCATGGGGATTTAGCAGAGGCAGAGGGAGAGCAGAGGGACGCTTGGGAATATTGCATGTTTGGTGACCAGGCAGAGTGAGCATGCAGGGTCAGGGTGTGAGCAGAGAGGAGTTGACTACTTTTTTATTTAAAAAAAAGTATGGTGCTGAGGACTGCACCTGGGGCTTTTTGTGTGCTGAGCATGTGCTCTACCTCTGAGCTGCATCACCAGCCCAGGAGGACTCTTACCCCAACGATGGTGGCCTGCCTGGAAGATGGAGTTGGGGTGGCCTTGGCAAGTGGGTGAGAGCACTGGGTTGATGGGTCGGCCAGGTGGAGGCAGGAGGGAGGGAAGGACATGCAACACGGATGATGGCCTGTTCCTGGCTCAGGCCACCCAAGGGAGACAACTTTCTAAGATGAGGATGTCGGGAAGAGGAGAGGTGCAGAAGGAAGGTCCTCTGCCTCTGGCTCCCTACTTCTCGCAGGTGGTGTATTTCACGGCCACATTCCCCTACCTCATCCTGCTCATGCTGCTGGTCCGCGGAGTGACACTCCCTGGGGCCTGGAAGGGCATCCAGTTCTACCTTACACCCCAGTTCCACCACCTGTTGTCTTCCAAGGTGAGGTCCTCAGGCTTCGGGACAGAGAGAAGGGCCAGACCAGAGCTGAGTTGCCGAAAGAGGACCCGGTGGGGAAAGGAGGGGATGGGTTGGGCATCATCCCCTTGGACAACCCCAACAGCAGGCTGTGCACCTAGCCCTTCGCATGTGTGTTTTTCATTTATTGTTCTTAAAAATACTATGGAATAGACACCACTGTCCCCATTTTACAGTTGGAAAAACTTTAGTTCATAAGAATTAATGATAAACTTAAGGCACACGACCAGGGAGTAGCAGAGTTGGGATTCCAGTCCGGATCTATTGGACTCCAAACCCCAGGGAGGCATTAATACCAATGATGACAATATGGTACTGACAGCTAACATTTACTATTTATTTATTTATTTATTTATTTATTTATTTTGTTTTGTTTTGTTCTTTTGAGACAGGGTCTCACTTTATAGTTCAGGCTGGCCCTGAACTCACTATGTAGCCCAGGCTAGCCTCGAACTCACTGCGATTCTCCTGCCTCTGCCACCCAAATGCTGAGATTACAGGCATGCACCACCACACCCAGCACATTTACTATTTGTTGACCCATAGCTGCGCCTGAGCCTGCTCTAGCACTGCACTAAGTAAAAGTGATTTAATTCCTACTGCCCCCACTTTATGAGATAGGAACTCTTCCTGTCCCCTCATTACCAGCAAGGGACCTGCAGTCCAGAGCGGTGATGTCAGCTACAAGGCAGTGAAGCTGGGATCCCTGTCCAGATCTAACTCTAGGCAGGAAAAAAAGAAAGGGTTGCACAAGCTCACTAGCAAACAAATCTGCAGGAAACTTTACATTAGGCACTACTTACTTATGGACTGGACCAAGCCTAGAGATCACCTGCTAGACTGGGTAGGAAGCTGAGGCCAAGGAGGAGAGGGGCTTGTCCACATCCTGCAGTGTAAGCACTAGAGCTGAGCTTATGAGCCTGGCTTTCCCCACGGTGTGTCTAGACTATGCATCCCAGCCTAGCCCTGCCTCCTTGCTTCTCCTGCTTGGCCTCTGCATCCCACTGTGTGCCAGCCCCTTCTCTCTGCCCTCCATTTCCCTCCTCCCCTGGCACAGGTATGGATCGAAGCTGCTCTTCAGATCTTCTACTCCCTGGGTGTGGGCTTCGGGGGTCTTCTCACCTTTGCCTCCTACAACACATTTCACCAGAACATCTATAGGTCAGTGCCTAAAGCAAGGAGAGTGGCTGGCCAGGGAGGGCCTTGTGGGTTGAGGGTATAGCCATCTCACCCCAGCCTGTGCCTGGACTTCTCCTGGCAGAGACACCTTCATCGTCACTCTGGGCAATGCCATCACCAGCATCCTGGCTGGCTTTGCCATCTTCTCCGTGCTGGGCTACATGTCTCAGGAGCTGGGCGTGCCTGTGGACCAAGTAGCCAAAGCAGGTGGGCAGGCTGTCAGGATCTGGTATAAGGGTGTGTCGCATGTGTGCAGACCAGGGAGATTGAAAAGGGGTATGGTGTGTGTGCATGCATGCGTGTGTGTGTGTGTGTGTGTGTGTTGCAAGAGTTTGCACATGCCTGTGCATGCACATGAACATTCTGTGGTTGGTTCCTGGGTGTCTGTGTGTAAAGGGACAGATGTGCAAAGGAGTTCTGTATATATTGGTTTTGTGTCTGGAGGTGAGTTTCTGTGAAGGTTGTCTTATCTGTTGTGCCTTGTTGTCCAAATGAGTCATATCCTGTGCTGAGCTGTCTGTGTGCAAGTGACACAGAATCAAGGGTGAGAATGATCTTGTGAATCAGTGTGATTTGTGCCAATGGATGACAATAAGTATATGTATTAGTGGCAATCTTTGTACAGATGATTGTGTATACTTGTGTGCTCTAATGAGGTTTTATATTTGGATCTTGTGTTTATTCATGGACTCATTACTAAGTCATTTATTCTATCACCTCATATTTATTGAGCACCTGGCTGGCCTGTGTCCTCGAGGTTGAGACAGTGTTAGAAGTGTACTTTGGTGCATGTCTCTGAGTGTGCCTGCATAGGTGTAAGGGTACTAAGTGTGTATGTGGGGTCGCTGCACGCCCCAGGCTGCTGACCCCTGTGCCCTTGGCCCAGGCCCTGGCCTGGCCTTTGTAGTCTACCCACAGGCCATGACCATGCTGCCTCTGTCACCCTTCTGGTCCTTCCTCTTCTTCTTCATGCTTCTGACGCTCGGCTTGGACAGCCAGGTGAGCCCTGCCTATGGAGCGGGACCTTGTGGTGCCTGTCATGGGGGCAGAACTCTGACCCCACCTCCTGTCTTCTGCCGTCCAGTTTGCCTTTCTGGAGACCATTGTGACAGCGGTGACAGACGAGTTCCCGTACTACCTGCGGCCCAAGAAGGTGGTGTTCTCGGGCCTCATCTGCGTGTCCATGTACCTGATGGGGCTGATCCTCACCACTGACGTGAGTGGCCCTCTGCCAGATGGGCACAGCAGAGGCCTGGCCAAGCGGTCACTGAGACACCTGTCTTCCTCACTTTGAAGAACCTGTCCCTTCCTAGGCCCTGTCTCCCAAGGGAGGCAAAGTGGCCTTGGCTGAACCTGGCTCTGGAGTCTTAGTCTGGAGATGTGGGTTCAAACCTCGCTCTTGTACTTGCTGAGTGACCTCAGACAAGTGACCTTATTTCCCTTAGCCTCTTCTCCTCATTGGTAAACGGAGGTTCTGGTGCCGGGGCTGCTGGGAGATTCAAGGAGGTGAGGCAGGTGCACTGGTGGGCAGGTGGCTAGTGTCATGTCATCATCTTGCTCTTCTGGCAGCCCAGCTACTTCCTGCTCACTCCCTACTAGGAAAAGGGGGCAGTGGCAAAGGGTGGAGCTAGGGTGGGGGAGCCAGAGCTGTGACTTGCGTTTCAGGGGGGCATGTACTGGCTGGTCCTTCTGGATGACTACAGCGCCAGCTTCGGGCTAATGGTGGTAGTGATCACCACGTGCCTCGCAGTCACCCGGGTGTATGGTGAGAAGGGCCCTGAGGGTTGGAGCTGAGGCTCCCTGATGTGGGAGAATGGGGTCTACCTGGGGTCCCCTTTGCCTGGTGGGTGGAGGCAGTGGGAGAGGGGCGTCTGCGAGCCTGCAGTGAGGCCATTCCTCCTCCCTCCCTACACAGGCATCCAGAGGTTCTGCCGAGACATCCACATGATGCTGGGCTTCAAGCCGGGCCTCTACTTCAGGGCTTGCTGGCTGTTCCTGTCCCCAGCCACACTCCTGGTAACCTGGGTGGGAGGGAAGTTTGCTGGCTCAGTCCCCTCTGTGTTCAGTCTGGCAGGGCCACCATGGCACAGAGCAGAGCCTCTATCCGGGCTATGGGTGGATGTGAGGGTCCTAGCCCACACCCCTCTCCCCTCCCAATGCCGCGAGCTTTTGTAGCTGTGCTCGGCCAGCCCTGCCTCTGCTTGGCGAGAGAGTGGGGTTTTCCCAGGCCTCAGGGCCTCAACACTGGACTTTCTTGGTCTTGAGCTGGGACAGCTCGGGGACAGGCCATCCTAAGAGAGAGTGCTTCAGAGCTGAGCGGTCATAGCCTTTCTACAGAGTCAGCTTGAAGCTGCAGTACCTCAGGCCCTGCAGGCCCTCCAGGGATGTACTGTCTCAGGTTCTGGTACCACTTAGGACACTGGGTGGCTCTGGGCTGGGCTATCTCAGGTCTTGGGAAGATAACTCAGACCTGGGCTATCCCAAGCCCTAGAGCCCACTGATATTGAAGTCCCCACCCTGCAGGCCTTGCTGGTGTATAGCATCGTCAAGTACCAGCCCTCGGAGTATGGCAGCTACCGCTTCCCTGCCTGGGCGGAGCTGCTAGGCATCCTAATGGGCCTGCTGTCCTGCCTCATGATCCCTGCTGGCATGCTGGTGGCTGTGCTGCGAGAAGAGGGCTCACTCTGGGAGGTGAGTCTGCCTTCCCAGTCCATCTTTGCCTTCCAGGCTCTGGCCTTGCCCTGGGCCCCCACACCTTACCCAGGGTGCTGTGGGCATCTTTAGCCCAAAGAGACCTGCTTGTGGGAGGCAGATTCAGAGGCCTGGGGTCCTGCCTTTGGCACCTCTCAGCACATCGGGTTGGGTGGGAGGTAGACAAGTCCACGGTGACAGGGACTGGCCTAAGGTCCCACTGATGACATGGACTGGGGCGGGATCAAGACAGGACTCAGGTGACCATCCCAGAGCTTCCTGCTGGAACTCAGTCAAAGACGTGGACAGGGCCCCTCTTCCTGTGTCCAGGAGCCCTGCTGTGTCCCTTAGCAGGCCTGGGACAGGATGATGGCGCATGCCTTCCCCCAGGCCAGCGCTTTGTGGAGAAACCCAGAAAGCAGAGTACAAGCTATTGGCCTCAGAGAAGTCCGAAAAGGGGACTAGGAACCTTTTGTGGGCCCTGGCATGTGATGTGTGCCCACAGCAAGATCTTGCCCCTTTCTGTGCCCCAGGGCACTCTGTACACTGAGCCTTTCACTTCTGCTGTTGCGGGTGTGGAGTCCTCTGGTGGCCAGAGGCTGTCATTGTGAGTGGAGCTTGAGTGAGCCTGATGGGCCCCAGAGGGAGCCTGGGGACCCACCCAGCACACAACCTGTCCGAGGGTGCTGGAGCCAGCCAATCCTGGCTCTTGAGAGCTGCTTGTTGCATATTCAGGAGTGCTGTGAGCCAGTGGTTAAACTGTCAGTAGCTTGGAATTGACAGTGGTGGCAGCCCTCCTGCCCTTCCCATGCCTTCCCACGCCTGCCTGCTTATCAGCTCACCTCTGCCCCATCCTAGCCCTATGGCTGTACCTCCCCTACAGCCCTCCCATCACCTATGAGTCTCCAACTGGACAGAGGCTCATGCCCCGTCATGTTCAGCAGCAGAAGTGCATGGTGACTACTCCCCAGACCACAGAGACAGCCCTGAGTCCAGCCACTGCTCTACCTCCAACTGCTGTGTGACTTTCAGCAAACCCTTCCCTTCTCTGAACCCCAAGAGTCTCCCCATGCTCCTAAAGGAGCATCAGCCTGCTTTAGGGAGTCAACAAATGGGGCAGAGAGGGGAACTGCACAGGAGTCTTGGGTTCCAGAAGTTGATGGTCTTTCCACCTTAATGACCAGCTAGTAGAAACTCTGTGTTCCCAGCAGCCCCTGAGGGAGCTGCTCACAGCCTGCAGTGGGTGAAGGGGTACAGGGCAGTGAGCTGTGCAGAAACGTCACTGGCTCAGGACTGCCACCTCCAGAAGCCAGGGTGTCTGGCACTGACTCATTAGAGTCAGAGCCCTGGTTCTGCCATTTACCAGCGGTGTGAATGACCCTGAGCAGGTCCCTGCACCACTCTGAATTTTGTTTTCTCCATCTTTAAAATGAGGACAGTCCTACTTATAGGACTGTTGTGAGCAGGAAAGGAGCTTTTGCATTGTGGGGATAGAAATGAAAAATATTTTAAAAGTTCAGCTTGGAGTCAGACTGCCTGGGTTTAAAGCCCAAGACCACCACTTCCTCCTTGTATGACTTTGGCTATCTTTTTTTTTTTTTTTTTTTTTTGGTATCGGGGATCGAACTTGGGACCTTGTGTTTGAGAGGCAGGCGCCAGAACCTGAGCTAAATCCCCGGCCCCAACTTTGGCTATCTTAACTAACCAGTCTGAGATTTAGTTCTTAGACAAATCTATGGGGTGGAGGGTGAAAGTGATAACAACCCTCTCATGGGGATACTGTGAGGATCTCTTCTAGTAAATAACACAGCACAGAGCTGATCACAGCAGGTGCTCAGTCCTGACCAGGGTTCCTACACAGGTGATTCTGCATTTGGCAATGTCTGGAGACACTGTTGGTTATCACAGAGAGGGTAGGGGGACAGGGCAGTGCTATTATTATCTGGCAGACAGAGGCCAGGATTGCAGATGAACTTCCACGCATAGGGCAGCCCCGCAACAGGAAATTTTCCAGAACAAAAGTCTGAGAAACCTGGGCCTGGGGACCTGGTTCAGCTGGGAGCACATCTAAACCCTTGCTCTTGGGGAACTTGTATTTTAATGTGGGAGACAAGAAACAAGCTAGTGCATAAAGACGATAAGTGCTACACTTTAAAAAAAAACACAAAAATGCAAACAGAAGGAATAAAAATTGATGGAGGATGGATGGCCTTTTGTCCAGGACTGTCAGAAAGAGCTGGCAAAATAGGCACAGTGATCCATATGGATCAGGGGAAAGTGTTCTGGGAAGATAGGCAATAGGTACAAAGGCCCTGAGGCAAGCTGGGCTGGCAGATTCGAAAGCAGCTAAGAAAACGGTATCTCTGCAGGAGAGGAGCAGGTGCTGAGGTCATGAGGTGGAAAGGGCAGGACATGGGAGGCCATGGTGAATCCTTTGGTCTCATGCGGAGAGAAGAGGAGCCATTGGCAGGCTTCTGAGTAGTGGGTTTACATTCTCTGGATACATGAGCATTCCCATGAGCTGTGAGCACCAGGTGTGCTAGGCCCGAGGCCAGCAGCATTCCACACATGATGTCCCCAGAACTTGGGCCCAGTGGGTTCTCTTACTGTTAGGTGCCTCCATCTCCAAGAGTGTGGGGCAATTTTCCCTGGCAGGACAGGCAGAGGGCCTTGGGACGGAGGTCAGAAGAAGAAGGAACCCTAGAATGTCCAGGCTGAGTCATCAATGTAGTCAGCTCACTCCTTCCATGGAAACCGGGGCTCAAGAGGGAAAGGTCAGAGTCAGGGCCGGAAGGGCCCAGGAAAGCCAGCCACAGTTCTGCCTTAGTGCTCTTGGCTCCTTCCTAAAAATCCCCCGCCACCTCTGTACTCAGCAATTGGGGGAAGGGACGACCCAGAGTGGGCTCTTGGCTCCACCTGCAGATGCTCAGAGGAGGGCCCTGCCTCCTACTCACAGTGGTACCATTTACCAGGCCCTGCCCTGCTCCTGGCACCCCGCCCAGGGCATCATCTCAGTGCCTCTATGGTGGCCCTGTGAAGACTCACAACACCCAGGTTACAGACCATACCCAAAGGCCACCCAGCTTGTAAGTGGGGAAGTACCCCTACACACACACACACACACACACACGCACTGCCCTGGGATTGTTGCAAGGACTCAGCCAGGTGACACGGTCAGGTCTTGGCTCCGTGTCTGGCCACAGGCTGCACTCAGCCACTGCTGACTATTTCACCACTGTCATTGCCCTGCCACAGAGGCTCCAGCAGGCCAGCCGGCCAGCCATGGACTGGGGCCCGTCGCTGGAGGAGAACCGGACAGGCCTGTACGTGGCCACACTAGCCGGGACCCAATCGCCGAAGCCACTGATGGTGCACATGCGCAAGTACGGGGGCATCACCAGCTTTGAGAACACGGCCATCGAGGTGGACCGCGAGATGGCAGAGGAAGAGGAGTCCATGATGTGAGGCCAGAGGCGGGTGGACAGCAGGCCCTCTAGCTGGGGCCCCAGCCCTGCCAGGTGCAGCTGCACAGCTGGGATTCTGAGAGGCTGGGAGAGGTTGCTTTGGTGATGCTGGCCCCCTAGCACAAATTCCACCTTGTGATCTGTGCCTGTCCTGAAGCCTCTGCCTGGCCCCTACACAACACACACACACACACACACACACAGGACAGCCTTGCTCTGCAGAGGGCATATTAAGGCCAGCGAGGGAGGGACTGGCCCAAGGTCACATGGCAGAGAGGGCTTGGCCCCGGGCCTCTGGACCAGTCAGCATCTGTTCCCCACATTGTCACCTCTGCTCAGGGCCCAGACCCTACTCTGCTCAGTGTCCTCTCCCACACAGCCTGAACTTCAGGGCATCAAGAGGCTCTCAAAGCTCCCAAGGCCCTGGATGGTGAGGGTTCAGTAAATGAAGTGAGAAGAAAGATCCCTGTGGGTCCCCAGGTGCAGGCCAGGCTTCCCAAAAGTGGGAGCTGAGGACCCTGGAAGAAGGGAAATTTTCAAGAGAAAGAAAGGGGGGCACCTTGGCCAGAGCTTCCCCATGGGGCTTGGGTGAGGCCAGCCTGCCTATGTAGAGACCCTGTGTGGTTGGTGATGATGGTGCCAGGCTTCAAGAGCATTCTGGTCCCGGTGAAGACTAGCAGGGCAGGGAGCGAGGGACGGTGGGTGGGAGGGAATTGCATGGTACCTAATAGCATTTTGGGTCTCTGTAGGGTGCACTGGGGGAGAGGGTAGACCCGGGGAGGCCTGTGGAGACAGGCTCGGGACCTGAGCTGGGGACTAGGGTGGGGACAGGGAAAGACAGAAGGGTCCAGGCCTTTGAAGAAGAGCCATACCCTCCCCCAGCCCCTGTGCCCTGGTATGCCAGGGAGGCCTGAGAGCCACGAGCTGTGCAGGGGGACGAGAGGCTGTGGTCAGGACCCAGGGCTGCTTTCTCTCCTCCCCTCACCTCAGAGGCCCTCACTGTCTCCCCCAGCTCCAGGTGCTGCTGGGACATTGGCCTTGGCTGTGGGTGACAAGAGAAGCTGTGAGACTCAGAGAGCAGGGCCCAGCATGAGGGCAGAGATGAGAGCAGGGGGTGGCCCTGAGTACCTTGGGTTCTCACCTGGGAGGGTGGGTTCGAGCCCGAGCCGTTTCTTGTGCACGGTGCTCTCCAGTGGGGCAGGGCACCTTTGTGCAGCTGTGGCGGCCCCTGTGCCCCGTCTCCTGGCATCTCCCCAGCCCATCTGTGTTCCGTTGGTTGATTGTTAATAAACACAAGCTGCAGTCATCCTCCTTGCCCTGTCTACTGACCGCCGAGAGAATGTGCTGGGCAACATGGTCTTTCCACTCCTACTGGACAGATGAGGAGACTGAAGCTCAGCCATCACCTTTCCTGGCCCTCCCGGGTCCTGACATCTGCCTGCCCTTCTCTAGGGCCATGGTGGGGGGCTGAGGGTGGGGGATGAATTCTGGCCCCTCAGAGACCACTTAGTCCCCCTACTACACTTGCAGACAAACTGAAGTCCACCTCGGGGGAAGCCACCTGCAGGGCGGCAGGTCTGGGCTGGCCAGCATTCTCTCCCTTTTTTTCTCCCTCTTCAACTGCCTCTCAGCCTTTCTGGCAGGTGAGGGCTGGAGCTGGAAGATCGGGCTTGGGAGGGGCCAGGGTTTCCCTCCTGGCAGGGCCTGGCCCTATGAAAGAGCCCCAGGGCTGTCAAATGCTAGGCCCAGGTGTTTGCAAGGCTTTGATTGCAATGCAAAGGAAGGGCTGAATGTTTGAGTATTAATACATTTCCCCCAACAAAGGGCCGGGCCCCTCCCACCCCTGCTGGGACTCCCAGTGGGAAAAAGGATGAATTTACTAATTTGCAGAGGATCCAGGAATGGTCTTCACAAGTCAGGATGCTTCTTCGCACACCCAGGAGCAGCTTGGCCTTGCTAGCGGACCTGGCAGGGGGTCCTTGGCACCTGGCTTTTCTTCCTGCCAGAAGCCGTGGTCTTGTGGGCATTTCTCAGCCTGACCTCGATGCAGCCAGGTACTGGGAGTTGGAATAGTGGGTCCTAGAACCTGTGCTGTCTTCTCCCTAGATTCCAAGTGTGAGGTGGGAGGGGTCCAGGCTATGGGCCCCACCACTCCATGCCTCCATCCCACCTGCCTTGTCCTGGCCTGGCCTCCATTCCTCCCACCTCCCCTTCCCGTCTTCACCTGGCCAGCCCCTGAGCTGTGATTCTTGCACTGCCCTCCCTGGCCCTGTCCTCAGTCTGTCCTGTTTTTCCATTTCCATTTCCGTTGCTCTCAGGCAGCCCCACCTGCCTCACCACCCTTCTCCTCCCTCTGCCACCCGTGCCATCTCCCACCCCTTCCCCGACCCTATAACGATTCCAGGTCTCCCTGACTCACAACAGACCCCAGCCAGGCCTGACTACCAGGGAGCTGGCTGGAGGGTCCATGACAGCACAGCAGGCAACTCGGCCCTGTCCCCACTGGGCCCCAGCCTGGGATCCATCCTAGAACATCCCCACAGGTGGCCTGAGTGAGCAAAGCTGTCGGTTAAGCAGGAGAATAACTGGAGTCAGCTTGGTGGGTGTTGAAGACACTGGAGGGAGAGCTGTGTGGACCAGAGAAGAAAGCTTGCCTATCCTGAGAGGGAAGCCTGGGCCTTGGTTGCCAGATCTCCTGTCTTTTTAGGAGTAGCTGGAAGTCTGGATTGTTGTGAGAAATTTCCCAGTTTGAAATTTTGGCAACTGCTTCAAAAGATGTAAAACAGGGTGGGTCTCCTGTCCTCTGTGTGGACTTGGGGAGCAGCCCAGAGGGTTCCCACCTGCCCGAGATGTGAGGGGGCAGCGTGCTGGAGCACAGGCCCCGGCCTCACCGCCTCGGCTAGGCTCTGCTACTGTCTCAGCTGATCTCTGTGCTCATGGGCCCCCGAACATGGGAGGCTGCTGGGGAGTCCTGGGGGGCCACAGTGGGGGTGGGTGGCCTGGGCCCTGCATCCCTGTGGAGGACTTGTCAGAGAGAGTGTTCCCTTGGGTGTTTTGAGATGCTGAGATGCTGAGATGCGGCACTGGGCCATCTGCCACAGCTTCCAGCTTATGATCTCTGAGAGCAAACGTGGAGTGAGGAGGAGGAGTGGGGAGGGGATCCTCCCCCAAACACCAGGGGCAGCCTCTTCCCAAGGTCAAGCAAGGGTCAACAGACACCCAGGTCACTGGTTACCTTGTGTGTGGTGCTTGTAGGCCACATCCTGGGTCCCCTCACCCACTCCAGCCAAGTTCATTTCCACACTGCCTGAGCAGGCCCAGGGGTCCCACCTCCCACCCTTCACTTGGGCAGTGCCTCTCACCCTGATCCCACCTCTTCCCATCACTCACTGGGACCCTATAGCCAGCCTTTAAGTCCACCTTAGTACACCATCCTCCACAAGCCTTCTGAAGTTCCAGCCCGATGTGGATTCCCAGAATCTTTCCTGGGTCTGACTCAGCCCTGTGCCTGGCTAGTCTTGACATCCCAGCCCTGCCCAGGGCACACACATCCTTCTGAGAAAATGCACCCTGCTTCTGTGTGGTTCAGACTCTTAATCACACTCCTTGGGCCCCAGAGCACTTTGGGGCAGCAGCCAGGCCTCGTGTAGACCCCGTATACCCCCAACCCGCCCTTCCCAGCTCTGCCCCTCCTAAGCTGGGTGATTGTGGGGAAGTCACTGTACCTCTTCAAGCTCAGTTTGTAAAATGTGGGCAATGACAACTCCCTGCAGTAGCTTCTTGTAGGTCTGGGTTAAGCTGTGGGGCCTGGAGCTTGGTGGCACATGATGCACATCGATTAGCTGAAAGAAGCCATTTATATCTGTGGTCTCTCCCCCGCCACCAACTCCTCCAGGACCAAGACTGGACTTCCTTCCAGCCCACTGCTTTGCAGATGGAGAGTCAGAGTGAGCCCTGTTCTCTGCTGGCTCTCAGGATAACCAGCAAGGAGTTAAGAGTCACAGCATCAGGACTCTGAGGCCCACGTGACCTTGGTTGCACAGCCTCAGGGCTGCGGTGGCCGCTGTCCTCCACACTCATTTTTTGCTGGTGGCTCATGGAAAGTTTTGCTCCATTCGCTCCAGGCCACTCCCCCTGGGGCCTGAGGCCTCACTGACACTGGTCCTAGTCTGGAAGGGCATTCAGGGCCGCCTGCCTGCCCACAAATCCTTGGCCAGCAGGCCCTTTGCTTCATCTCCGCCTGACTTCCCGCCGCCCTGGCCCTCTCCACCAGCACAGAGCATTAGCCTGCCTACTCTGGCCAACAGGGCCACTTCTTGGCACCCCTGTCCAGGAAGGCTTTCTGTTTGGGGGAAAAAAGTCTTTTCCTACTAATGTCCACAGCATCTGTGAGCTGCAATCCCTAGAGAATTGTCTGGAAAAGGACATCCGCAGGCTGATCAAAGTCAAAGCCCAGCTCTACGACCCAGCTGCATCAGCTGCTTCACCTCTCTAAACCCGGCATCCTTAGATGTAAAATGGGAAGAACAGATTTCTTCTTGCAGGGGATTAAATGAGATAGTATTAGATGCTCAACATTTATGTTAAAGAAACGATCGAAGTGCATAATGCAAAACAGCATGTGGAAGCCCTCTAAGTAGAATGGGTCTAGTCCAGCTGGCCCTTGTCCAGGGGAAAATAGGCTTAGCTCCCACCTCCAATCAATGCAAGAAAAAGGAGCCAGCCTAGAGCCAGGCATGGCCAGGAGGAGGCTGCCAGCCCTGTGCTGACACCCCTTTGCAGGCTGGGCCTCAGTGTCCCCAACCATAAAATGGAGGGGTGAACAGGAACCGTGGGCTCCACCAAAGCGCCTCAGGGGTGAGAGGAGGGTGGGGCAGAACCCAACCCCTGCCCTTCAAGCCATCCCTAGGGACCATGCTGTGGTTCCCAGGAAGGAAGCAGTGCCCTTCCTCGGAGTTGGATTTGGGGTTGGCTCCACCTGGTTGGAAGGAAGTTCATGCCCCCTGCAGAATGGGCATAGCCGGCTTTTCCAGTGAGCCAGGATTCCCGCTGCCAAACCAGTAGAAATGGGGGAGGTGAGGTATGAGTGGGCAAGGCAAGAATGTGGCCCTGGCCTGGGCCCCGCTTCGACCTTGACTCTGCTGGCCAGGGTCTTACAGAGCTTCAGGGCTTGGGGTGCCAGGAGTGAGAGGCAGGGGAGAGGCTGAAGGTCAATATTGATCTAGCTGAGTCAGGAGGAGGATGAGGAAGTGGGAATCCTGGGGTGGGGCTTCCTGAAAGAGCTGCATCTTTGGGCTCCCGGTGTGTCTGTGGGAACTGGAGACAGCTAAATCCAGGCTTCCCTAGCCTGATGGTCACAAAAACTAGAGCTGCCCAGACCCCTGCTTGGCCTAGTGGAGCCTGTTCTCTGAGGACAAGGCCTGATGATCTTTATTTTCAGCAATTCCCTGGCTGAATATATAGCAGCCCGTCCTGTTCCCAAAGCTGAAGACTACAGGCTCAGTGTCATTGTTACAATGAGGAAACTGAGACCCAGAGAGGGGATGTGACTCACCCAAGGTCACTCTGGGAGAGCCTGGTGATAAACATCCCTCTTTCTTTGGGGGAAAGTGATGATCCACCTCTAGCTTCATCCACCTGGGCCTGGCAAGGGATGGCAAGGCCAGGCCACCCTCAGGGAAGTGGCTTTTGAAAACTTGGCAGGCCTGGTGGAAAAGGGAGGGTGGGGCTGGGCCCAGGAGGAAGGAGGAGAAGAGGGGCCATTCCCATGGACCGGACCCGCTCCACCTTGCCCTGTGCAAACACTCCCAGCACCTGCTGGAGGATGCTTCCTGAAAGGCCAACTGCAGCCCGGGTCTGAGCAGGCCTTCTCCACCTTGCTGGGGCCCAACCGTGTCCTGGAAGGCATAACCACACCACGGCGGACTCAGGGTACCCTCAGTCCTCAACACTGCTGGTCCCACAGCGTCCTCTGAAGCCTGTTCTACACCCCACCCACCCAGTGCCCTGGGCCATCAGCCTTTGCTCTCTCTTCAATCCCCCCCCCCTCGTCTCATTGAGCAGCTCCACAAAGCTGCCCCTAGGTCCCCAGCCACCTGCCCCTTTTCCTCTTATCCCTTTTCCGCCTGCCCCGGCTGCCAGTCCCCTTTTCCTCCTACCCCTAGGGTCCCCATACCTTGCACGGCCAGCTCCAGCTCCAGGCCCGCCTGCCCTGAATTTTCATTCTCTGGCTAAGACAGCGTCAGGGATTCCTGGGAGGTGAGAGACAGGTCTTGCTCACCACCGAGCCTTCCTCAGATTCCAGCCA